TGCCCTGAAGACCAATCACTCCAGGGTCAACTATGTGACCCTGTCACGTTAGACCAGTGGTCGACCATGAGCCAATGAGAAGCTTGCATAACAGATGACTCCATGACTTTGGCTGTCACCATGACCCTTTCAAGACTTGGAACCCCAACAACAGAGGATTTTCATTGTAAAAAAGGTTGGTGACCCCTGTAAAAGTGTCTGCCAATAAATGCTATTCAGATGTCGATCGGGATGGGGGTGGGGGTTCATTGTACAAAAGGGACTTTCGGAGAAACATTATATGGTTTGTGGACATTTAAGAGCACAGCAACATTGCATAACAGAAGGGCAGAATTTGTGCTGTGCAGGGGGTCATATAAGACACTGCAGAATATGGGAAAAACTTTAATTTAGGGGGACATTTAAAAGTAGGGTGACATTGCATAGCACGAGACCTTTCTCCTGCAGCCATCTCCTTGTGGTGGAATGACTTTCAGCAAGGACTGGGGGCCTCACAAGCAGCTTTGGTCCAATTTCCTTAAGTGGCACCTCCCATTGGCTACCTGTGGGAGGCGCACCCCCTGCACCCCAACACAGTGCTGATCTAACCGGTGCTATGTTGGTATACGGTTGCCAATTTGAGACACTGCTACAGGGTGACACTTCTAGAAACTTCCATGAGGCCGTAATATTGCGACACTGTCTGAATGACATGTTATTCATCCAATGAAGATAATTTAATAAAATATGCTGAGACATCCTGGGTGGGCAAAATGGAAGCTAAGTAACAGATGATAAGATGTTTTGTTTCTCTTACAGGGTGGAGAGCAGGTATAGATGGTGATTCTTAGGGTGTACTCATACTTGGCCCGGTTGCCTTGTACCGTGCCTGAGCACGATTGCCCCCCCCTCCCACTCCCCCACTGGTCTGCACTCACATTGCGCTTAATGTTCTGGGCCTGAGCACACTTTCATCATCGCCATGTGATTTTTTACGTTGGAAAAAACATAGGAAGGAAAGTGCTATCGCACAGCAGAATGGAGTTCATTACTCATGTCCTTATTTTTGTGGCTCATTTGGAATGGTTTTGGGGATGATGACATGTGTCCCTCATAAATGTATTGAGTATGCAATGCAGAGACTCTCATTTAATCATGCTGCACGTATAAGAAGATAGTCCCGTATTTTATTGAATATCTCCGAGATTTTGGGTGTTGCATCCAGTTGTTCCTGGATACGCACCTCAGCCCAAATTTCCAACAAACCCTCCACCTTTGCTGTAGACAAAAGCGATCCCCTTGCTCCAATGTTTGTTAAATATTTGTTGCTACCTGATCTGTACAACCTACCTCATCTGTTCCTTCCGGCTCCCGCTCGTGTATAGTGTACATGTGCGCATGTGTGTCAGTTGCATCATTGACAGCATTGAGTGCTCGGGCATGGTTGGCGATCGCACTAGATGCGTACCCTGCCAGAGCATGGCGTGGTTAAATGTACCATGCTTGGGCACGGTACCCAGCGATCGTACTGTTATTCCTTTAACCACTTACACAGTTGTCTTCAGGGGAGTTGGAGGGGGCATAGAGAGCCAGCAGATTCAGGGGGCCCAGCACTTTAAATACGCTAAATTATAAATTATATGGTCATATGGGAGATGCAGTTGGACAGGTTGGACTCCGTGAGGACGTGGGAGATGCAGTTGGACAGGCTGGACTCCGTGAGGACGTGGGAGATGCAGTTGGACAGGCTGGACTCCGTGAGGACGTGGGAGATGCAGTTGGACAGGCTGGACTCCGTGAGGACGTGGGAGATGCAGCTGGACACGTTGGATGTAGGGCTGCTTGTGTGTAGGATCAGTGGAGGTTATTAATCTCACTTAATAAAGTTCCCCCTTAGGACACTATTGGAATTCATCCCCACCACCCAGGTGCTCATGCCTTACAAAGTGTCTAAACTCCAATTTCAGGAGGCTACCAACAGCTTTTACCAGCTGTTGCAAGCAGCCATGAGATATGCTGAACACAGATGCTGAGAAATTTGTTAACTGCCTGGTGCAGTATTGAGTTTCCTGCTGCCTGTGTGAACGCAGGCACATGTGCTGATAAATGTTTTACTTAAAATGGGAAAAGAAAATGGCAGTCAGGAAACACCAGCGGGTTTAATGATCGAAGTGATGGATGTCCACATATTGCTCTCAACATCAGTCTCATCTTTTCCTCATCCATCCATCTTCCATATCATTTACCCATCACAGAATCATGGTGGTCTTCTCAAAATATGTTGTGGAAGCTTGGCTCTTTCCACCCAGGTCCATTACAGGTCCGATATACGTCAGCCACAAGTGTGTGTACAGGTATTCCATCTTTCTCTAATCATCATGGTTTCCAATCCGGTCCTTGGGGATTCACAGTCCACACTTCCTCCGAGCTCCGTGTCAGACAGTCCAAATTTTTGCTCCTTCCTAGCTCCCTCATAGAGGGAGCAAAAATTTGGACTGTCTGACAGAGTGCTCAGAGAAAGCAAAGACGTGGACCGGATTGGGAAACACTGATCTAGGGGTAACTAGAACCCAGTACAATAAGGAAGAAAATTAGCAACTACTGCCGTTAGGGTCAGCATGGTACCTCTGAGGGTGGGTGGGGCCTGTGTCCATTTCGGAGATGAAAACATTTCCACTTCATTCCACAGGGAGAGGAATCATTTGCATAAAAGCCTCTTCTGTCCACCCAGCTGGCATGTTTTCACTCTGCACGTGTGCCAAGCTTTTGCTTGAGTGGTCAGAAGCTACCAAAAGAGCTGTTGGCCAGGCGGAAACGGGGCGGAAGCGACGGCAGCGTGGACAAAAACAGCACGACAGTCTGAACGCAGTCTGTCCTGCGACTGCCCATTAGCAATAGGGTTAAGTGTGTAAGCAGATATGCTAATTAAGACGGCATCACTAAAAAGGGTCAAACAATATTACAATGAAACGATTCACTACCAAGAAGGATTCAGTCTACTAAGGCTGCATAGTTCTTTTACGAATTTACTTATAAATTAGATTTAAAATACCTGTTAGCCCCGTGTCCATCATGCGGGGGGGGGGGGGGGGGGGCAAGATGACATTTTGTCAAGGAGCCCAGAATTTCTAGCTATGCCCCTGCCTTCATGACCAGGGGGGCAAGGGGGATACACCCCAAGCAGCAAATTTTAGAGAGCACCCTTTTTGATAGCAGATTATGTAAAATTCACAGCAATTTACCGAGAACCCCCCACCCCCCTGGATTGCCAAGTTTGATCAACCCCCCCGCCCCCAATGTGACACCCCTCCTACGCTCCTGCTTCAGACACAAGCTTCAGAGGTAGTTTGTACCCATGGCTCTGCCTTTTGCTGTCAGATGCTATTCTCGAGGACGTAAGCTTTGCAGGGTAGGTGACACGCGCTGCCTGCCCCCCCAGCCCACCTGCTATGCCTAACGGCAAACAGGGTAAATGTCACTTCTCTCCCACTATCCAGCACCGCTTGAGAGGAAAGGAAGGAGACTGACCACATGGATCGATCGTGACCCCACGTCTTCAGAGAGTGTGAGGGCTGGCGCTGTCCCCTTGATCCTATACGGGGAAACACCCCCACGTTGGCCCAGGAGCAAAACAATAAGGTACCTGGAATGAGATCCGTGACCCCGACGCGGCAGTAAGGCTGCCCCAGTACAACCAGTTGCCGCTCAGGCACGGCTGAACTGGTCTACAGCACAAATGCAATGCATGTGCAAGCAGGAACTGAGCTGATATATAACGATTATCTGTCACCAAATGCTTTAAAACAAGATAAATAAATAAGCAAAGCAAAAGCGGGGCGACACACGTATATCAAAATGGGAGCAATAGTCATATGGAAAGCTGTAGGGCGCAGTGTGGGGGTGAGGAGGATTTATGGAGGGGGCTCTGTATTTTCCTGTGTACCTGTAGGACATATTTCAAGCCGGCTACAGTGGAGAGGGAGACTGGGCTGGCGATGCTGGTAACAGCAGAAGCAAGTCGTAGATAAATACTGTTATGTCTGTGATTAAGTTTCCCCCTAAGCTGGGCATTGATTGAACCCCTTGAGGGGGGGGGGCTTCTCCATGTACCTATCAGGCAGTGCTGAGGAAATCTATCAGACAGGAACATCCATCAATCTTCTAAATGCTTATGAAATTATGTTTTATTTGCCATTTGGACAAGTAAAAGCGCATCATAATTCTTTCGTTTTCGCATATCCCATTTTGCTTTGCTTTTACAGAGATAGACACAAATTTGAGATTAGATTTGCATCTTAATTAGATTTGTATTTAAATTATT